CTCTCCCTTCCCCTGCTTTCATGTCAATTCACATTTGGTAATGTGGAGTGGGGAGCCCCACTGATATATCATGGTGTTACCCGATGGGGTGTAGTTTGGTGAACTGACACAAAGTCCCTTTTGCGTGGGAGGGAAAGAGTGGAAATTTCATTCTGTAGAACTGAGAAGCCAGACAGACAACTCACTTTGTATTCAGACAGCCCTGGCCAAAGAGTTTACAGTTCCCAGCTCTGCAGGAGGGAGGGTGAAAATAAGTAGACGATGATTGGTCACTGGTTTTTTGTCTAGACCCCCGATGGGCTCCAGGCCAGCTGAATCTCAATCATGTGAAGAGGAACAGGATTTTCATTTGGGCGAAAAACTCACACCCTTCATTCTTGGGGGCATAACTGAAACCACAAATCTAGCATGTTCTAAGGAACATTATCAGGCACAGTCAGCATCCAGTTCAAGATATATCCAGTTAACCAAACACATTCCTTATATAGGCAGTCATTCAAGACCTCCTATGCTCAGAAACTGCTATCAGTACATGGACATTCTTTGTTATTCAGTGTTTTTTTTTTCTAATTTTCACCATTTTAATGTTTATTTCCTCTCCAATATATAAAAAGTATGTTAAGTATGCTATCAAAGTATATAAGTTAAGAATAGTAAGTGTGCAGACTCTTATATGCTTCCCTGTTTTCACATGGCCAAACAATAAATATTTCTATTTTGGCTGAAACATAGTTGATACTAAGTTTAAATTAGCATCTAAAGCCAGGGTCAGCAAACACTTTCTGTGGACGGCCAGGTGGTAAATATTTTAGGAGATGTGAGCCAAGAGCCAAAATTGCAATATCATGTGGACACTTTATGTAACAAGAGAGAAAACAACTTTCCTTGGGTTTTTTTAATGAAATTCAAAAGATAATAATAATAATTGAGCACAGGGGTTTTTTTCAATATAGGTCTACTAATAACAAAAGTAGAATTCTTTCTTGAGAGAAAACATTTCACTGAATTGGAGGGCAAACGTAAAATCCAGTCTTCATTCTCATGGGGCTTGCAAGAACAGACAGTGGCCGGGTTTGGCCACGGGCCGTAGCTTACTGACGCCGGATCTCAAGGCCACATGATGGAGTAGAAAGAACTTTGGCTTTGGAGCCAGGTTTGGCCTCTGTTCACATCCTAGCTTTTGCCTTCCATCAGCTGTGCATTACTGAGCAAATCACTGAATCTCCCTGAACTTTAGTTTTGCCATTTCTAGGAGAGAAGATAATGATTTTCTGAATAGAAAATAACTCTAGAAGGAGAAATAACTCTCTTGGGTTTATGTAAGGGGTAATAGTAACAAGAGCAAAGTCCTGAGCACAGTGCTGGATGCAGACACGCCGTAGGGACATGACAGACATTGTCGTCTCCATCATCATTATCGGGGCTTACAGCAGCAGGGGATAACTCTAAAATGGCTCAAAAGATTGCGTGGATTGAGAATGTCAAGCTCCCATTCTTTAGAGGATTAGAATGGGCAAGTTATAAATGTGCAATGGATGGATACCTGAATGAACCAGTGAATGACTGAACATTTGGCAACTTTTGCTGCTCCTGGGAACTGGCATAAGACAGAAATCTAGAGCTCTCACAGAGAACTTCTCCCAGGCACACTCATCCTCTCCACAAAGCCCTAATCCACAAAGCTGAGGAACAACATGAGTTGAGGTCCACCTTGTCATGATTTCTGAGCAGGCCAGTGAAAATGTTACTGGCAGTAAAAGACAGATGAAGGAGCCCCACATGGAAAGAGAATGACAAGCAGCCAGGCACTGGCTGCCTTAACTGCTGAGAGGCCCTGTAGGGAAGCTGCTTCTCACCTTTAGCTGTTGGGCATGCTGCTCCTTTGCCATGCCAGAATGCATGCTCCTGGGAGCCCTCCTAGCCCTTCAGACAATTCCCTGAGTTTAGTCTCCCCACCCAACCCAGCTCAGTTCCCATAGAAAGTCACAGAGCCAAAGGCGGCAGTTTGAATCCCAGCTTGTTTCTTGGCTGTGCCCCCCTTCACAAGCTCTTTTGTCTCCTTGGGCCTCGCTGGTCTTATCTATAAAATGAGTACATTTCCTATATACCTGCATCTCCTACCCAGAGGACTGCTGTGAGGTAGATAGGAATGTGGTTGATCCCTAGCCCCTTATCCCTCAGAGAGGCCTCTCCTGCTAAAGTGGTCCCTGCCATCCACCCCACAGTCACTCTCCATTCCCTTACCCTGTGATTGTTTTCCTAGTATTTATCACACTGCATGATTATCTCATCAGTTTGTTTATATATTTATTTTCTGCCTCCGTACACACACAACCCCAGTTTCCCTGAAGACTGTGGCATTATATGCCTGGGTCTCTGCTGTATCCCCAGCATCTAGTCCAGCGCCTAGCACACAGTAGATGCTCAGTAAACAGGGATGAGCCCCTGAAAGGCAAGAGTGTTTTGAAAGCTCCCAAGAACTTTCCACAACTGTCTCTGGAGCCCAACTGTCTGCTGCACTTAGTCTAAACCTGTCTCTAAGGTGCAGACAGATGCATCATCTGCTCGTGTCTTCCACATTCATCTGTTGTCCCCTAAGTAGGAAGTATGAGGTTGGAGGGCAGAGGTTTCCAAATATTCATTGTTGATCTACTATGTGCCTGGCACTGAGGAGATGTGAAAGCAAGCATAGTTGAATGTGGCTCCTGCTCCCAAGGTACTTCCATCTAGTGTAGAAAGAACACGTATCAAATAACCATACAGAGAAAGGTAAGCAGAGAAGCTTTAGTATGGACTTAATTGCCCATAGAAGGAGGTCAGAGAAGATTTCCCAGAACAAAAGATCTTTAAGTCTGAGTTCTGAAGAATAAAAGGGAGTGAATCAAGCAAATAGGAATGGGAACAATGTACCAGACATCCCGAACAGCAAGGGGAAAGGCCTCATGGCAGGGTGGAGCATTCCTTCATTCAACAACTATTGATGGGGAATTTATGTGTGCGGGGCCCAGTAGAGGGTCCTGGGTCAGAGCAGCAACCAAGCAGCCTCTCTCTGCCCTCTGCAGCTAGCCACTTAGTGGAGGGAACAGATATAAATTAGATAATTCCATAGGTATTTTAAAAATAATGTTAGCTAACATGCATGGAGTCCTTTTAGGGGGTCTGCCAAAATCATGCATGGGTTCCAAATAACATGTAGATACTTGGCCCTGGAGGAGATGGAGCACTCTTTAAACATGGAGAGCTTAGTGATTTCCTTCCAAAGAGGATAGTATGGAAAGGCAGAGAAGAGTCACTTTACAGTGGAGAATCTGACAAACACTGCCTCCACCAGAAGGTCAAGATCAACCCCAATGGTGATGAGTGAGGGCGACAGTACGTACCCTTGGTAGGATGTGATGAGAGGAGCAGTTTGCCTCGTGATCTTCCTCCCAATGTAGTCATCATAGTAACATCAGGCAAATCCCAACCGAGGCACATTTTACAAAACACCTGACCAGTACTCCTCAAAACTGTCATGGTGGCCAAAAACAAAGTCTGAGAAACTGTCCCAGCCAGGAGGAGCCTCAGGAGACATGACAATTAAATGTAATGTGGGATCCTGGAATAGAAAAAGGACATTGGGTAAAGTTTATGAACACCTGAATAAAGTCTGGACTTTAGTTAATAATAGCATATCAATATTGGTTAATTAATTATGACAAATATACCTTATTAATGTAAGATGTTAAGAACTCAAGAAACTGAGTGTGGACTATATAGAAATTCTCTACTGTTTTTGCAATTTTTCTGTAACTCTGTAACTACTCAAATATTATTATTATTATTATTATTGTTGTTGTTGTTGTTGTTATTTGAGACAAGGTCTCACTCTGTCACCCAGGCCAGAATGCAGTGGCACGATCATAGCTCACTGCAGCCTCAAACTCCTGGGCTCCAGCAGTCCTCCCGCCTCAGCCTTCTGAGTAGCTGGGATTACAGACGAGCACCACCAAAATTGGCTAATTTTTAATTTTTTTTGGTTGAGATGGGGTCTTGCTGTGTCACCCAGACTGGTGTCAAAATCCTGGCCTCAAATGATCCTCCTACCTCAGGTTCCCAAAGTGCTAGAATTAAAGGCATAAGCCACCAATTCTAGCCAAAAATATTACTTATTAAATATTATTTAAAACTATTCATGCATGGGTAAAAGATCCATTCAACGTGCAAGGTAAACAAACAGGTTTTAACGTAACCAAGTATGAAAGATTCATTGATGTGCTTTCAGATTTCACACTGCAACTAACTTGAGAAACTATCCTCTGTCAAATTTTAATATAATATCAAAGAAGAATATCCACAGTTATCTGGAAGGGCTTTTAAAATACATCTCCCTCCTTTTTCCAACTTTATGTCAGTGTGAGTTGAGATTTTCTTCATATATTTCAACCAAAACAACAGCATGCAAAAGATGGGCTGCAGAAGCAGTTATGGGAATCCAGCAGTCTTCTGCAAGTCATTGAAGAGATTTGCAAAAATGTAAAACAATGTCTTAAAATTTTCTTCTCACTACTTTTTTTGTTTTGAAACATATAGTTATTTTAGTAACAAATATGTATGTTAATGTATTACAGGTTTAGTATTGTCATTTTTAAATGAAAAAATAAATATTTAAATTGTTCTCGGTTTTAATTTCTCTTATGGTAAATATCAATAGCTATTACCCACATGAACAAAAACTCTGTGGGGGTCTTGATAATTTTTAAGAGTATAAAGGGTACTGTGACCAAACAATTTGGGAATGACTGTGCTAAATAAATAACTTTATTTAGTCCTCATGAATAGCCTGTTAGGTAGGCAATATTATTGTGCCGCTTTGCAGATGACAAAACTGAGGCATGGAGAGGTATAGTGACTTGCCCAAGGTTACCCAGGAAATAGAGAGACTGGAGCTGGAATTCGAACCCATGTCACTGTGCTCTCCTGACTTCCTTGTCTCCTGTGGTCCTTCCCCATCGTTCCAGGTCTGCGAGCTCTGCAAGGGAGTGGCCCCTCCTGACAGCCCCGTGGTCTACTCGGACAGGGCAGGTTACAGCAAGCAGTGGCACCCCACCTGCTTTGTGTGTGCCAAGTGCTCCGAGCCGCTGGTGGACCTCATCTACTTCTGGAAGGATGGTGCTCCCTGGTGCGGCCGCCATTACTGCGAGAGTCTGCGGCCCCGGTGCTCCGGCTGCGATGAGGTGGGAGATAGTGGCTAGATGGATTGGGGGGCTTGAGGGACACTGCTGAGGGTAAGAGCCCAGAGGCCAAGAGGAGTATGACTTTGTGGATGATGTGTTCTACAGATTGGGAAACTGAAGTCAGGCCTCACTGCATGCTCTCAACCTTCATTTTCTCATCTGCAAAATGAGGCAGAAAACCATGGGATTGTTGGGAGGGGTCAGACACAGTGCCAGTGAATCTTGTCCTCGGCATAATACCTAGCACTTAGTAAGTACTCAGAACATACCAGGGTGAACCAGGAGGCATTGCCTATGTTCAAACCTGTATCTGCATCTGTTGTTATTATTATAGTCATGTGGCTACCTAACTCCAGAGCCTCAGTTGAGCCTCAGTTTTACTACTTATGAAATAGGGATGAGACCAGCACCCATCCCATAGAGTGGCTATAAGGATAAATGAGATAATGCATGAAAATGCTTGCCACAGGGCCTGACCTAGGAACTTATACATGGTAGCAGCTCTTAGTCTTAACGATAATATACTATAACATAATATGAGATTTAACATTAATGTGACACGATACAATACGATATGATAGAGATGCTATGAAAGGGATTCAAGTCTCTCAAACTGGTTTGACGAAAGTAACTCTCAGGTGTATTAACAATGACAATACTAATTATGATCATAGTAAGTACTGTTTGCATGCCTTTGGTTGCAGGCAATATACTGACTTCATCTTTGGCAAGTATGAAGGTTAGAAATGCCTTCTTTATATTGAACCAACACCTATTTTCTACCACCTTCTATGAATTGGTCACCACATGAAGTTAAGACCCTGTAGTTCTCTTACCTAATAACTCTGTTATTAAGTGATATTAAGAAGGAAAAGAACTGTCACAGGCCTGCCCTGGAGCCTAATTTTTGAGGTGACAACAGTATATGCACAATAACAATTCTCCATCATTTATTAGGAGCTTACAGTGGGTCAGTAATTTGCTACATACTTTATGTACAACATGCCATTTATATCACAACAATCCTTTAGGGAGAGATAAGCATGATTTTTTCTCATTTCATATTTAAGAAAAGTGCAGCTCTGAAAGGTCAATGCTAATCAGATATCCCTGACTTTGTGTCAGTCAACATTCTAAGCCTTTCATATGTAGTTGGCCATTTGGAAATCATGGAACTTTATGGTATGGAAAGTATTTGTATCCCCATTTTACAGATGTGGAAGCTGAGGCACAGGACGATTAAGTAATTTGCCCAAAGTCACAAAGCTGGTAGATGTCTTAAGTGAAAACTCATACCCAGTCCCTGTTTGACTCCAATACTAGAAGGCCCATTAAACATTATGCTCCTCTGCACTTCCTGAGCCTCAGGGGATCCTTACCGTGTGTCTATTCCAAGAGTCACTTCGTTCCAAGCCCAAGTGACCCTCTGTACTCTTGCTCTTGATGATTGGCCATTGGCAGCTTATCTTTCCCTAAGCTTTCTTCACCAGGGTGTGTAATCCCACCTTGGAACTAAACTTTAGATTTGGCCCAAAGAGTATCACAGATGCTAGATAAGTAAAACCTGCCTGTGGTGGAGGAATTTTTTTTTATTCCATCTGAGAAGCTAAGATACAACCACAACCTTCACCAAATACAATCCTTACTGCCTCAAATTTATGCCAGATTTTTCCACTAAGGCTTTTAAAGGTTAAAACAAGAATAGGATGGGATGAACCACCACCCTATAACTTGTCCTAGATATACCATCTCTACCTAGGGACAGAAACTGAGTCATGCATTTCTCCTGCTTCCCTCCCCAGATAATATTCTCTGAGGACTACCAGCGTGTGGAAGATCTGGCCTGGCACCGGAAGCACTTTGTCTGTGAGGGCTGTGAGCAGCTGCTGAGTGGCCGGGCATACATTGTCACTAAGGGTCAGCTTCTGTGCCCAACTTGCAGCAAGTCCAAACGCTCCTGAAGGGCTGCCCACTCACAGCGAGAATCCACAGGATCCCACTGAGAAGGAGAACCAGGTGTGCTGAGACCATCCTAAGGGGCCGACATGACAGCAAGCAAGTGACATAAACAGTGATTTGCTTTTCAGTGAGAATATATATATATCATATGTTATATATATTCTAGGATGATATATATATTCTAGGTTGGGTGGTGATAGATCCTTGAGGGTCAGTAGTTTCAAAACCATAAATATTCTAAATCCTAGGATGGAGTTCCTTTTCTTTCTGTTGTTTCCCAGCTACAACCAACTAAAGACACAAATGGCATTCTGCAAGGGGACTCTGGGAGGAGTTTTCCAGAATGCAATTCCGTGTGAGCAAATCGCATAGCTGTAGAATGTGCGTGCTTTTTTGTGGACACAGGAGCTCCTCCAGGAGCAGGCTGGGATCCCAACTATCGCTTGTTGCCTCTTTTCAAGTGGAATTTGAATTTTAAATAAACAACATTTTTGGCATGATAAACATATCAATAAAAGTTTTGTGAATTCCACATACACCCTTATCTAATTATTTACACCATGGCAGTGATTCTGCAACATCTATTTAACCCCACGACCCTGAATGCCAGTGCTGGCAGAAAATATGGTAAAATACTAATGAGCCTCTCTATCAATGTATCTCATCAGACTTCCACTGGGAGTGTAGGCTTTGGGACAGAACCCCGCCCCATCTACCTATTCGAGATACTCCCAGATCACTAATGTAACAAAGGTGTCATGGTTTATGGTACACTAAAAAGTGACCTGCTGGGAACCAATGAGCTTCTCTTTAGCCAGGTACCTGACTCAGCTGCCCTCAGAGTCCAGGCAGATCGTGAATGAACCCCTCTGGGAATAAGACCAGTACTGGGGAGCCGCTGAACAGGGGCCACCTAAGCTCCAGCAATGGGTGCCACATGGGACGTGGTGACTAATGTGGGCAGATCTTTAAAAATACAGCACTTTTTCAAATGCCAAAATAATGGGAAATAAAATTTTTTTCAATAAAAATTAATCTAAAAAATTAATGCCACTTTTTTGAGAAATCTCAATTTTTAATGTTGCCAACAAAACATGAAATGAGTTAAGTAGAATAGGTCTTTGGGCCAAATTGTATCTCCATTTTATGGTCTCTCTGAACATTTTCAGCTCTTAAATTAATTTCTTTCCCACAATTTCTAAGAAAAACATGTTTTTTTCTACTGGGAGTATAAGGATGAAAAAGACACAAGTCGTCGGAGCTTACAGTCTGGTCGCCAGTGGTTTTCTTTCTGGAACTTCCTCATCTGCTGCCAGGTTTCTTTAACCTCACCATCCAAATTTTGCTCTGACCATCTTGTACCTAGAAAACCCCCATTTGTGTGCTTTATAAGTTTCACCAAAGCCATTGCTATATCCTCCCAAGGCAGTGGTGTTCTGCTCCCAGCTGCTTTCTCTAGTCACCCTCAGTTTCCTAGTTATGTTCATTTTCTCAAAGATAAGTTTCAAGTGTGTCATTTCCTTCACTCAATCTCCATAGCTCTTCATTGCCTGCCAAGTCAACAACCAAGTCCTCATGGACATTTGAATCCTTCCAAAACTTGGCTTTGTTGTCTTTCTGGCCTTGGAGCCCTTTATTTCCCTAGATTTCCAGTTCCCTATTCTTCCTAAGCATGCAGAAGCTCCCTCTGATCAAGGGAGCTTCCCTTTGCCTTTGCTAGTTGAGGACTGGCTACCTGAAGACCAACTCTGGCTGTTGAAATTCTATTCATCCTATAAGGTGCTTCTCAAGCATAACCTGCTTCTCTGGCACTTTCGTGAAGCACTGGTGAAATACTCACCAATTCATCAGTCATTCATCCATTCCACAGATATTCAGTGAGCATATCAAAGTTCCAATTCCCATGCTGAATATAGGGGATACGGCGTGCACAAAAAGAACAGTGACCCCTACACCCATAGATGTTACGGTCTGTGGGGGAGATGGACCTCAAGCAAATACTCTCACAAGTCAATGCAAAATTACACCTACTGTGCATGCTATACAAGGAAGATTTGTGTTACTATAATGCATGTAAACTGGACTTAGGAATATCGAGAGAGGTGCCCCTGGGAAAGTGACACTTGAACTGGGCTGTAAAGGATGAGTAGCCTTGCTAGGCATAGTGGCTCAGGCCTGTATTCTCAGCACTTTGGGAGGCCAAGGCAGGTGGATCACTTGAGCCTAGGAGTTTGAGACCAGCCTGGGCAACATGGCAAAACTCCGTCCCTACAAAAACTACAAAAAATAGCTGGCATGGTGGCACACCTGTAGTGTCAGTTACTCTAGAGGATAACCTGAGCCCAGTAAGTCAAGGTTGCAGTGAGCCATGATCATGCCACTGCACTCCAGCCTGGGTGACAGAGTGAGACCCTGTTTCCAAAAATAAAAATAAAAAAAATTTAAAAAGAATGGGTTACCTCTAAGTTGGCAAAGAGAGAAAGGACAATGGTTAAAGATGGATACATGAACGCATGTGCAAAGGCCCTGTGGTGGAAGACCCACCAGTTTATTCAACACCTATTTGCTGGTGTTAGAGATACAGTGGTGAACATGGCCCATGGATGGAACTGAAAGAGCATGGTGAGGAGGGTGGGCCTGGGGCATGATAGGTGGGCATGGCCAGCCTGCTCCAGTTTTGGGGCAATTCAAGACTGGTCTCTGTCCTAGGAGCAAGGGGGATCCTTCAAAAAGCTTTAAGCAGGGGCTGGTGATAGCTGGACAGGGAGATCATGAGATACATCATCTCTTCTCTGTTGAAACCCCAGCACAATGCCTGATTGACTTTGTCCACTGGGTCACACCATCATGGATGGACATTATCTCCCACAACAGTCCCCACGGGGCACCATCCAGAGCCTGTCCCTGCCTTTCTCATGTCTATTAATGACACCCGTCCTTGCGTTTGGAGCACCTGAATCATCTCTGGCACTCGCCTTCATATCTGATGGGTCACTCAGACCAGTCCTTTCTCTCCATCCTCCCTTTCACTCCATCCCAAAAGTCGTATCTCACCTTGAACATTTTCTCCTCAGACTGACAAGTTTCCCCTACAGGAACTCACCCTTTCCACCCACCACTTCCAGATGAATTGCTCAGAAACACAACCCTCATCTTGCACTCTCCTCTTAAGGAACAATCAGGGAGCAATCTTGCACTCTCCTCTTAAAGGAACAATCCTCTTAAAGAACAATTCTGTGTTGCACACACAGAAAAAAATTGAAACTATTTTACCTTGTAATCAAGTTTATTTTTCCTGCCCCAACTCTCCTTCCTTCCTGTTATCCTTTCAGAAGCCAAATGGGCAGCTTGCAGTCACAGTATGTGCCCCTGCTTTCCTCACCTCTGTACCATCACTCAGGCTGTGCCTTTTGCCTGGAATTCCCCACAATTAAACACTGTGTTTAATTGCTACCTCTGCTGGGGGGCTGCAGTAGCTGAGTGGGATTCTGTACCAGAATTGGAAAGATCCATGTTAACTCTTGCCTGATTCTATCTCCCATGTCAGCAGGAAGAGGGGCTGCCATCCCCACCCCTCCCACTCTCTAGGAAGATTTTCCTCTCTCACCCTTCCCTTGGGGTGTTTTAGGTGCCCTTTATCTGTAAGCTCATAATATCCCAGGCTTACAATAATTCTTCCACGGCCTTTATTGTGCTATAATTATTTGTTCATGAAAGCCTTCCCCTATGAACTTCTAAAGAATAATTGTATTATCTTTATTTCCCCAACTCTTAGTACAAATCCTGGCAACTAAATGAAAGAACAAACAACCTGGGGTTCTGGGAAGGTTCGTCTTTGCTGATGGCACTGTGTTCCAAAATGACCAAGGTCAAATATAAAAATTTCAGATTGAGATGAGGTAGACACTGCTGGCGGCCTACACGTTGCCACCCCACTCCACTTCCTTCTTCCTAGTGGCAAGGAAGCGGTGGATGGAGAGGGTGAGTTCCTGTCAGGGAGACTTGTCAGTCTGAGCAGAAAATGTTCAAAGTGAGATATGACTTTGGGGATGGAGACAAAGGGAGGATGGAGAGAAAGGACTGGACTGAGAGAAGAGCTCACTCCCCTTTATGTAAATTTGCTTTGCCAACCTTGTCTGTAGCTGGAGAAAGGCCATGCGCCTCTATTACCAGCCACTGGGGCTTGTGCTTTGGGAGGGTCTTAGAAAAGTGTTCTTCCTTAATGAAAAGAGATACTGTGCAGTAAATAGCCCTGCTTTTGTTTTATTTTCTTTTGATAGAATGTCAAACTTACGAAAAAAGTTATAAGAAGAGAACAAAGAGCCATGGGAGGGTGTTGCTGACACAATGCTTTATCACTCTTGAATATTTTCATGTGTAATTCCTACAAATAAGGACATTCTCCCACATAACCATCAAAAGCAGGAAGTTAACACTGATGTGTTTCTACCATGAAATCCTCAGATCCAATTCAAGTGTCACCAGCTGTCCCAATAATGTCTTTTATAAGAAAAACATTCAGTCAAAGATCACTCATTCCATTTGGTTATCTTGTCTCTTTATTCTTCAATTTGGAAGTGTTCTTTGTTCTTTCCTGAATGTCCATGACCTTGACATCTTAGAAGATTAAAGGTTGTTTAAAGTTGTTGAGTTAAATATCCATTAAATTAGGTTTGTCAGATATTTCCTCGAAATTAGATTCAGGTTATGCATTTTTTGGTAGGAATACCACAGAAGTGATGTTTTCCTTCTGTTGCATCCAATCAGATGATACAGGATTTTGATTTGTTCCATTACTGTTGACATTAATTTTGAACACTTGATAATGCCAGTATCAGCCAGATTTTTCCATTGTGAAGTCATTCTTTTGTCCTTTGTATTTAATAAGTGTGTTTAGGGGCTTTGGGACTATGTCAATATCCTGTTCTTCATCAAAATTCCACCCATCGAACTAATTATTATTATGATAGTTGCCAAATGTTGGTTTTTCTAATTCAATCATTTCTTTAGTGTTTATTAGCATTCTACTATAAGGAAAAGCACTATCTTCTCCCCATTTATTAATTCACTTATTTACATCAGTTTGGAGTTATGGATTTCTATTTTACTAAATTGTTTATAATTGATTACCATCCTTATTTATTTTAATGCTCAAATTGTCCCAAATTATGGCCAAAGAAAGCTCCTTCAAACTGGTTGCTATGTCCTTTAAACATGGCCAATCATTCTTTAAACACATTTTACATCTGGCACAATAACGTGCTCCATACCCATCCTGTATTTTTCCTGCCCGATCTTTGAAATCAGTAATTTCTGAAGGAGTTCCTTCTTAATCTGGCTGCTGTTGTGTTGGAACTCCTGGTACCACCTTAGAACCTTAAGGAGACAAGCGAACCAAGCCAATAAGCTTTCCATGATGCTGCTTAGAGTTAAACAGAGCCTAGGCACTGAGTTATGTCATGGAGACAGTGAACTAACCTCTAGACTGCTTGCTACATGAGACAATTGATTTTCTTGTTTTCTATGTAGGGCAGTACATTTCCTCATTTTGAAATATATTTCTTCAACATATAGCTTTTCATTAGTGTCAATTATAACCAAAAACAATGTGACAGATACCTGAGATGTTTTACATTGTAGCTTGGGTGAATTAAACATTTCTGAAACCATTACACTTCCTAGTTTATTTGGATTTGTTTAAGTTGACAAATAAAAATTGCATATGTTTATGGTCTATAACATGGTGTTTTGATATATGTATACATTGTGGAATGGCTAAATCAAGCTAACATATCCATTACCTCACATAGTTATTTTTTGTAGTGAGAACATTTTAAAAATATTGTCTTAGCAATTTTCAATCAAGCCTGTCCCATGGAGACACAAGCAATAGTGACACGAGTGCTTGACTCGCTGGGTTATCAGGCTTTGGCTCCAAATGTTTGGCTTCAAATATGAGAAAGTTACATGAAAGATGAAACTATGCAATGGCATGGCTGTTGGTCATTCACATCTCTCTCTGCCAAGAATGGAGATGATGCT